TGGGTATATTTTATTATTATTAACGGCAAAAAGGTTTTGGGCATTTTTTCTTCCTTGTAAATACTTAAAGATTCTTTCTAGGGGTGTTTAAAGGGTTAGAACACGTATTATTTATTTCAATTACAATTTTAAAATATTTTTACTCTTAATTCCTAATAGACTATATTTCTTTTTAAAAACAAGTAAATGTAATAGAATTTCTTACATTATTTAAATTTATTTTTTCATGTCAAATATAAGTATGTATATTACCAGCTCTCATTTTTTTAATTTTATTTTTAAATATTTTTTAAGGAAAATTTTTGACAATGACGGCAAAAAATAGCTATTCCATTACACTGATTCAGTAATTTTTATTTTTTATAAACTTAGTAATATATAGTTTCTCATGTATGCACAAAGGACATGGTTCATTTATTAATTTACATTTTATTGTAGGCGTTTCATTAGATTCTTTTAAGTTCCAGAAATACTTCGAAAGCGATGTCTGATTTCTGTATTTATTAAATCTAAAAGAGGTTTGGTATTGATTGAACCGCTTTTTGAACTCATGGCGTGTGCAGCCTATATAGATTTGTATGTTTTCGGGATTCTCAATATATTACTGAGTGGTTAGAACGTTCGAATTCAGACCATGAGACTCGGGTTCGAATCTCACTATGGTCGATTTTTCAGACTTCATGATGTTAATCAAAATGGAAGAGTCGATCTCGGCGTTCGTCACTTTCGGAAACTGCCTAAAAGCCATACTACAGGTTGATCCAAGCCGTGTGAGTGAAGTTGGGTAGACGGAATCCTTAAAGGCCGTCGATAGCTGCGCTAGAACCTAGTCACAAGTCATCGTGGCCGTGGGCTAGAGTGTGCTGGCCTGGTTCAAGTTGTTGATCACGCTAGATAACACACTCTTTCATAGAATGGTCTCCTCAATATTGTTTCAGTATAATACACATGAGCAAGCGTCTGCAATAGTTATTGTGTAGCCGAGTGAATAAATTGCAAACATTACGTCTGCTTAGTTTTATCCTAATCCTTTCATATTCAAGAATATTTTTCTAATTGTCATATACAGAAAAATAGCCGTGAAAATGATAGGATTATGATAAAAATAAGCAGACATGATATTTGTAATTTATTAAATCACACATGCCTAAAAGAGAATTTTCTGCCAAAATGCACAAATATAGATATTCTACCTTCAAAACCAATAATATATCTTCGTATACAACAGTCAAATGAAGCAAGGAATGCACTGTAACTTGAGAAATAAAATTGATTTTTACTGTTACAGTGCATTTCTTGCCTCATTTGATTGTAAGATACAGAAAAATATTCGTGAATATGAAATGACTATGATAGAAATAAGCAGACATAATGTTTGTAATTTATTCAATCAGACATGCCTAAAAGAGAATTTGCAGCCTAAATACACACACACACACACATACATACATATATATATATATATATATATATATATATATATATATATATATAATTATTAAGTGATAAAATATGGTGGACTAATCAATTAAAAATCATTATTTTCATATATATATATATATATATATATATATATATATATATATATATATATATATATATGAAAATATATATATATATATATATAAAAAAAATATATATATATATATGAATATATATATATATATATATATATATATATATGATAAATATATATATATATATATATATATATATATGAAAATATATATATATATATATATATATATATATATATATATATATATATATATATATATATATTTTTCTGGAATATTAACTACGAACAAGACAACAATGTGCTAACCGTATTCGGAAATTAACAACGTCTCTACAACACACTAAAACATACACATAATGCACACACGCAATTAAACTGAGAAATTGACTCATCCTTCATAATGGCTAAAGGTATAGCCGAAAGCGCTCGGAACTATAAAACATTTGGACAGTTTTTACACACTCTTTGTCCAGAAAAGAAAGCCCTTGTTCGAACACAAGAAAAATTAAATAAAAAGCGTGACCGTAGTACCTTGTCTGTTGTTTTTAATGAAACATGCATAAACGAAGGATTGCTGCCTAAATATACAATTATATATATATATAACCTATATTTCAAAACCCATGCCAAATTCACTATAATTGAGAGAATATAAAAATTCAGAGCAAATAACATCAGAAAGATTTTAGAATTCCATGAAAATAAGGTGATACAACCTTTAAAAACGCACTATCCAGACGGGCTTAATCACAAATTTAACAATATAGATAGTATCAATATATAACCCCATAAATCAAGACCTACCCACATTTCTCACCCACATAAGACAGACAAGCTTACGGAGGTGTTGAGGCCTCTCACTTATACACACACCCACACGAATATACACACTTACACACATCATACTCACTCACTCCCTAATGAGCCAAATGATAACACACACCCATAGCAATATACACACTTACACATATCATACTGACTTAGAACCAAATAACACAGAACCAAATAACACACACACTGACTTAGAACCAAATAACACACACACACACTTAATAGAGACACATCCCCTTTCCAAAAACCAATAAAACTATCAAAATGACCAAGGGAATTCAGAGCAGCATGAATCCATCCAGCTCTTATCTTAAATAACAACTTAAAAGAGACTGTTTGACCAACACAAAGTCTGACCAAAATTCATGTTAAAAAAATAAAAAAACAAATGAAAACTACAGACAAAAGTTGATTTTCACTATCAAGACATTCATTTCTGTAGTTCACTGCTACCAGCAAGCAGAATTTTTTTCTCCTGATGATGGCCATGTTGGTCGAAACTAGTCGTGGAATCTGAATGAAATAATAATAAAAACGAAAGAATATTAATATACAGCCTAGTGTATCTGAAGTTTTAAATATTTTTGTTCAATATATATATATATATATATATATATTTCTGTGTGTGACCCTGTGTGTGGTCGGCAGTGTGTGCATCCTTTCTAGACGTCTACAGCAGAATTTTTTTTCTTATATTGTCAATCCCTCGTCTATTCATATATAGTGGAAACTTCTATATGGTTGCTGTCTTTTGTTGCCGCATACCAATTAGCTCTTTTACGCTCTATTCTTTATAATGACGCTAAAATAGGTTGAATGTCATGCCTATCACCTAGTTCCGATCCTGGGGTAAGCAAAACTTACTTCACTTGCGACAATAATTTTATTTGCCTGATCTCCTCGCTAAGGCCGGATGCAGTACAAGACCTTTTCTTTATGTTGAGAGTCCATACCCATAAATATGGGACAAGAACAAATATTGCCCAATTGGATCGAAAATTCCAAGAAATTCTGACACCCAGTAAACACGGCCTGTGTGCAATGGGGTATGCAAATGGGCCAGACAAACCAACTTCTGTATAGAAAATCTCGTAAATAAATACACTAGCGAAGACATTAATTTCTAAGTCGATGAAAGTGTAATGTAAGACTTACTGCACTGTTTACTGTTCTAAATCGTGCGGTTAGTTTTCCTGAAAATGTCTTCCCAATTGCACCTCTGCCACTTAGGGTACGTTCGACATCCAGGAAACGTGTTGCAAATCTAAATTTTCTGCATTTTGCTTCAACCGATTACACGTGACTAGCTATGTAATTATATTCATATGCGTACAGAAGGAGATTAGCCTAAGTTAGTGCAAGTTCATTACTCTTCGGAATACTGAGGTACTGCTTAAACACAAGATTTGTTTGGTATCTGTCTATATTTCTGAGATCAGTTATTATGTAAATTATATACATTATTTGGACTATTGCCCTCATCGTTGTCGCTATATTTGTTACAACGTTTCGGCCGTTGTACGCTCCAGCCTTCTTCAGGTGGTTCGAATGTCAATCTAACCAACGCCTTTATCTACAGTGCCATGTGCCCTCAAGAACATATGGCACAGTGGATAACGGCGTTGGTTAGATCCAGTGACAGGACCCAAAGAGTTTGAGTTCAATAGCCGGTTAAGGCAATGGAGAACTTTCACATGGAAATTAACAGGATATAACTGATAACTGACATTCATTAAACATGGCACGTGGAACTAGAACAGTCTACCCAAGTGCGCGAAATAAAGGGTTCTGTTCGACATTCCAACCACCTGAAGAAGGACGGAGCGTACAACGGCCGAAACTTTGTAATAAAAATGGCGACAAAGATGAGGACAATAGTCCGAGTAATGTATATAATGAAGATTTGTTTTGTTTAGTTTGATTTGTTTCAAGGCATATCAACCTCAATAGGTTATTTAATGCCGACAGGATCTTTATTCCAGGTAATATTTTTTTCCAAAGAATGTATTGCCAATTATACTTTTTTCTTCAAAAATATATTGTTAGTAATACTGTATCACTGGTAATAATTATTTACAAAAATGTTTTGCTGGAAATATTTTTTCCTCAAAAATATATTGCTGGTAATATTTATTTTCCTTAAAAATGTATTACTATTTATATTATTTAGCTGCTTCAAACCCGGTTTGTGTTTAGATGAGGTACTTTGAGAACAACGCTTACCGTAAGTGAAAATCAGGTAGAAACAGGTTGGATTTTAGGCTAACAACTTTATCCTTTAAAACCTTAGCATCGATTGAAACGGCATCACCAACGAATAGTGTTCTTGAGAGCTGTGGTCACATCCTTCTCAGAAACTAGATAAAAACACCATCAGGAATAAAATTGCTTCGATTTTCGCAGTGAACAGTTTGGAGAAAAATAGAAATAAACTTAAAATTAAAACCTCTCATTCAAATTGTCTGAAGTATGAGACGAAAGTGTTCAACATAATAAACGCCACGAAAGATTCCTCCTAACCTTTAGTTTTCGAAAAAAGACACAACTAAAAATTAATAATTTAAAAAAAAAATATTTCCCTTAAATTTCGACGAAAAATACACAAAAAAATGGCTGCCCGAATAGTGTCCAATTAGATTATGTGTGGCAGGCCCACCATTATTTTTTACTGTTGACTTATTATCTATCTATCTATCTATCTATCTATCTATCTATCATAGTCATTTGGATCTATCTATCTATCTCAGTCTGTTTTTTCTTTCTATCTATCTATCTATCTATCTCAATTTGTTTAGATCTATCTATTCATCTATCTATCTCAATTTGTTTAGATCTATCTATTCATCTATCTATCTCAGTTTGTTTAGATCTATCTATCTATCTATATCTATCTATCTATCTATCTATCTATCTATCTCAGTCTGTTTAGATATATCTATCTATCTATCTCAGTCTGTTTATTTCTGTCTTTCTTTCTTTCTTTCTTCCTTTCTATCTATCTATCTATTCATAGCTAACCAATTCAAATGTACATTGCTGAACCTTGTCGTCAATCTTGTACTGCGCTTAAATGCATAACATCGATGCACCATAGCGAAGAGCCCGTCCAATCAATCACCATTAAAATGTTTATTGAAATGACACATGGAAGCAACTTTAGTTGCGGTGGGAAAGTGATTAAAGACGAGAAGCCAGGTTTGAACCAAAATATTGCTGATTCTTCTTTGGATTTCATCAAATATATCTAAATATATAGCAGGAGCATTGTATGTGGTAGCAATATTCAAAGCGAAGACGAATGATAGAATTATGGATATGTAAGATAGATTCTGAAGAGAAAACCCTAACAAATACACGACACAATGGATTCAATATATAATCCTTCCACTTCATGTCAGAAGAGAATATTAATCTGAGAAGTCGCAACATGTTGATGTAAGAGAGAAAGGAGGGGGGTCTTTCAGTTATTTTAATATATCTGTATATCTATTTGACCGTATGCCTCTCTATATATCGATCTATGTAGTTATATATGCTCGCTTTTTATCTATCTATCTATCTATCTATCTATCTATCTATCTATCTATCTCAGTCTTTTTTAGATCTATCTATCTGTCTCCCACAATCTTTGTAGATCTATCTATCTATCTATCTATCTATCTATCTATCTATCTATCTATCTATCTATCTATCTATCTCAGTATTTTAGCTGTATCTATCTATTTATCTATCTCAGTCTGTTTGGATCTATTTATCTAATTGATTGTATATATATATATATATATATATATATATATATATATATATATATATATATATATATATATAAAAATCTCTCTCAACCTGTTTGGATCTATCTATCTATCAGACTGATTGTATATCTATCTATCTATCTATCTATCTATCTATCTATCTATCTATCATCTATCTATCTATCTGTCATTGCCTGTTTTTATCTATTAGTCTATCGTCATTTATGCATTAACTCAGTCCGTTCCACAGCGATTAGTGCTCACCGTGTAATGTTTGCCTTCAGGCCAATTGCAGGTGGTCGGCTGCTGGTATCGATTGGTGACTTTCTGTCCCTGACTTCTCGATAAATAGAGTCAATTACATATCGATTGAAAATGGACCGCTACGTTTATTTCGACATGAGTAGCAAAGGTACATCTTCGTGTCCCGTGACAAAGTCAAACACTAAAGAAACATTATACACACGGACACAATCACATGCAAGTATTCGAATTCGCACACGTACCCACACACAAACACAACGCACACACACGCATACAAGCCCACACATTGTTTTCTTTTCGTAATGTTGCATCAACAAATTTCAGATTTATTTAAACAAATATATCACATTAAATTCTTTTTCGCTCACTGACACCGACATCGGAGAGATACGTCCATACATCGTTATTTTATGAAAAGAATCAGATAGATAGATAAAGAAACTGTCAGAGAGATAGATTGATAGATAGATAGATAGATAGATAGATAGATAGATAGATAGATAGATAGATAGATAGATAGATAGATAGATAGATAGAGTTCAATATGTAAAGATGTCCTTAGCATAGATAGATAGATAGCTACATAGATAGATAGCTAGCTAGATAGATAGATAGATATGAATAGACTCATAGATAGATAGATAGATAGATAGATAGATAGATAGATAGATAGATAGATAGATAGATAGATAGATAGAGTTGAATATGTAAAGATAAATCCTTAGCATAGATAGATAGATATGAACAGACTTATATATATATATATATATATATAGATAGATAGATAGATAGATAGATAGATAGATAGATAGATAGAGTTGAATATGTAAAGATAAGTCCTTAGCATAGATAGATAGATAGATAGATAGATAGATAGATAGATAGATAGATAGATAGATAGATATGAACAGACTTATATATATATAGATATATAGATAGATATATATATATATATATAGATAGATAGATAGATAGATAGATAGATAGATAGATAGATAGAAAGTGAATGGACTGCCACATATAATGGACAATCTGAAAAACATCGCGTACACAGACTAAAAAGAGGATTTAATATATAAATCATATATGTTTGTATCTGTGTGTGTGCGCGCGTGAGTGAGTATGTGCGTGAACGGGTATATATGAAAGGCACATATACATTAGGGTAGGTTGATTTTTCACTTTTTTTAAAATACTAAGACTAATGTACCAAAATTTTGTATAGACCTATTAAGTACTGATACACTGAAATGAGATCTGACACTTCAACGGTTTTTTGAGCATTTGGCATCAAAGATCGTAGACAAAAATGCACCGAAAAATCCTTGATTTTACAAGATTTGGCCTAAATATTGATGAGATAACCAAGCAATTTCAGTATTTAAATCCGGGAATGTTTTTTTTTAATTTATCAAAATTAAATAAAATGAAGAAATTATAACTAAACTTCAAATTGAAAATCTCCCCCCCCCATTATCAGTGACAACTTCGAAATGCTGTTTTTTACCTCATGAATTAAGTTGTATTAGTTGAATACATTAAAAATTGATTTTTTCTACTATGAATGAAAATACAACAAACAAACAGATATGGAAAAATAAATAATAGTTTAACAGAGCTTAATATATAGAGCAAAATAGCTCTGCATAAAAGCCCTTAGATGAAAATGGTGGTCTTAATTTCGGATACAAAACTTTTGCTATTATGTGCTGGTACCTTACTTCAAAGCCATATAGAGAGATTGGGAAACTTCTGTTGTTAACTTGACTGCCCATTCCGCGCCTTGAAAATGTGAGGGCAAATCTGGCAATTCAAGCTTCGTACCATTTAATAATGATTCCCGAAGTTCATTTTCAGAAAATTCTTCTGTGAGTGGTGGTTCACAAACACCAATTAATGACAGATCTATTAACCGTGTCCAGTGCATAGCTTTAAAATAGATAGTTGTCATTTTTTTTTAAATCTTTTCTTGACTGGCTCCTCACTCCTGAAATAATATAAAAATTAATTTAAGTTATTTAAAAAGAAAAGGCGTTCTGTACTTCTTTAATATTTATGATGAATTTAAATAAAATTCTTAAAATGATTCTATAAATCGGCATAACTAATTTAGTCAGTTTTATATAAATAAATATTTATTACCTTATGGCCAAAATTCTTTTTATAGCTTATTCTCTCACTTCCAGTTCATCAGATTTGACCATAAAATATAAGATATTTTCAGTCAGTAAGGCGAAAGCATTGTATTGTATATTTTTCAATGTGATCTGTTGGATTTCATATGGTTGCTTCCTAATCCTTTGGGTCACATTGAAAATATACATTTGCTGATTGTGGAACTTGTTATTTATTTTATTTTCGAACCAGCAAATAGTATACACATTCACAATAAAATTGATTAAATTGTGGAGTTTGGTTAAAAGATTTCGAGTGTATGCACCACAAGTCCATAAACATATCAGCATGATGGCTAAAATTAACCACATTTCCTGCATTAATGGACCAGTTTACCATGAAGCAATTCTAGTGGCCATCTTACCTCTACAAATAGCCACTGTATATTCATAATGGAGTCTTTGGTCACAACTAATGGTATCTGTATTTTCATTTTTAAAAACAGAATCCCGAGGAATGTCAACAGCTGAAAATGATATTTAGGGTAAATTATGATAATGATTTGCACATAATTTACCCAGTGGACAATTGAATGTGATAGGGTCTTTTGTGATAACATCTACATGTTTAAAAAGAGCTCTAAACGGAAGTTCGTTTTGGCGCAAGGAGCAACCAATAGTGTGAAAATTTCTGTTAAGTTTTCTTTCTCAAAGTGGAACAGGTTCACCTTCACAGTCTGTATTGATATCAGTGTTGTCAACAACGATAGCCTTGATAGTGCTCACACTGTTGAATTCATGCAAAACATCAGCACCAGTTGCACCAGTATTAGGAAGAACCCTATGTGTCAGATATTCACTTTTCTATGTGATCTCCTTTGTGACATTCAAATGGCGTTCTGGTTCCTTGGTTTTTTAAGAGTTTTCTTTCCATTTTCCTAGTTAAAAGCGTAAATTGTAAACAAAGACAATACGAACTTACAAGAGGAGATAACTACTACCCTAGAAATACCCTAGAAATATCCAGGAAATAAGTCGGCGTTCGTATGGAGTTATTTGTATTTGAAACTAAATATTTTAGTGTTTTATTTTTGGTAGTTTCATTGAATTTAATAAGATAATAGATACTAAACTTAAAAATATCCATTATTAAGCGTATTTTCTTATTTTCTTTTCGTTAAGATTCGGTTTTAATTTAACATACACATGTTTCCGGTGACACCGATATGATGATAAAAATCGCAATTTATTTTGTCTTTAAGTTCGATTCCTCAAATAAATTCGAAGTTTTGAAGAAAAATATTTTTTGTGGTAATTTTTGACGTTATTTTGCAATTTTCCTCAAGTTATTCTTCGCAGATGCATCGATGTTGTGCATTTAAGCGCAGTACTTGTTGACGACAAGGTTCCAGCAATGTACATTTGAATTGGTTAGCTATAGATAGATAGATAGATAGATAGATAGATAGATAGGCTGGAATGAATAGATAGATAGATAGATAGATAGATAGATAGATAGATAGATAGATAGATATTGTCTTTTTGGTCAGACATCTATTGTTCTCATTGCTTAATAATGCTTCTGTTTTCCAATCCTAAGCCCTTCTGTATTAGTGGTTTTATTCTGCATTGCATGGAGTGAAATCATTCAAAAGAAAGAATATGCCATGAATAGTTTGGAAGTACTGTATTGACCTTGTAGTAACATTCTCCGCCTCCATGTCTAGGGACGAAAATGATAATACTTTGCAAGATAAGAAATATATGCCTTCATACTTATTTACTTAAATCTATTCTTTCTTGTCGTTTACAATATCCAGTAATAATTTTAAGAAACAATTTGAAGCACCTATAGTTATGTTCACTAACAATGCTAGCCATCAAAAAGTAACACTGTACTTCACAGTGAATTTATTAATCCAACTTATAGATGGGCATTTCTCGCGTAAATTATTCAAATTACTATATAGGAGACGCAATCACTACTTTATACCGTAGATTAACCTAGTGTTTCACGGATTTTTGCCAACAAAAACAAATCACCAACATAGGATTATTACTTCTCAATGGCATATGAATACTATATAATGATAACTTAAATTCGAAATGAAAGAAAACTTATTTCAGTTATATACGAGATATATATATATATATATATATATATATATATATATATATATATACTAAATATGTAGTAGGCAGGAACAATTCCATGCCAAACACGGGTTTTTAAAAAAGTGATCAATACACCGTTCAGAATGGAACGTGTAGAGCAGGTTAATACCATAAAAAGAATAACATGTTTATGTTATTCAGTACCCGGGTTTAAGGTATAATCACGTGGTAAGGCAAATTGCATTATCCAACTCCCTGCAACTTGTTATAGCTACCGGAAACTACATTGAAGAGGGGGTATGGCAAATTATAGAAAAAAAAAACCTTCTGTACTTCCCCCTTGCGCCCCTTCTTTCTCTTTTTCCCTTATTCTTTTCCTCCTTCCACTCCTCATTGTTAACCTTCCTCCGGCTTCGTAAATGCCTAGAATGTATTTATTAATATGCCTACATTTCGATATTATCGCCAACCTTCCATTTAACAAGTCTTTTACGATCCTGATAAGAGTTCAAAATCCAGCATTCGCTGAAAATTATTCTAATACCCAACGGGCATTATATTCAGTCATTATTTAACAAAACAGAAACCTTTCTCACCAGGATGAGATGGAGAGCTTTATTTGTTTTACGGAACTATGCAAACAAATAGAAGAAAACTGAAATACTCTCCTCTGCGGTTGAAGAGCTAGCTGGTTTTGAAAATGAATTAATTTGCATCGTAGATAGAATAAGGTTCAGGAATAATCAAAGTAATTACCAAAAAAATCCGAATTGTAGAATAAATGAAATTAGAAAAACAAAACAAATTTTAGTTAAGCCCGAAAAAACAAATCTCTATCTATAAAAGGCAGGATGT